GTGGTAATGGTCATGATGATGGTGGTGGTAATGGTAGTGGCAGTGATGAAGATGGTGTAGTGGTGTTGATGCTGATAATGGTGTTGATGCTGATAAWGGTGGTGGCAATGATGATAAATGCTGCTGCTGGTGGTGGTGGTGGTAATAGTCATGATGATGGTACTAACAGAAGTGATGATACYGGTGGTGATGACGAAGATGGTGTTGCATATAACAATGGTGGTGATAATAATGCCATAGGCAGTTATAATGGTGGTGATGATGACTGTGTTGCATTATGATAATGGTGGTGATGATGATGCTTGATGCAGTGATGATCAAGATGATATTAATGGTGGTGGTAGTGGTACTATAGTCAATAAAACAACTTTAAATTACCTTCAGGACTTGATTGATGTCTTTAAGGTGTTTCCTTGATTCCCTTATCTGTTCCTTTGATCTGAACATGAAAAAATATGTTTTGATAATGTTGTAAACCAAGCTCCTTTCAGTTAGCACAAGAAAAGACAAAGTTGATATTATTGTTTATCAAACTACAAAAAAAGAAAAGAAAAAAAAATCCTAATTCAGTACAAAAACCATCCACTCKAATACTATCTTTCTTAAAATTGCAAAACAGATACAATGGTTATTGCTAATATTACTTACTTGTATGTTATTAAGTGGGTTTCTTTAAGTAGTTGTCGAAAATCAACCTTTGCACTTGCCAGTTTATCTTGTAAATACACATTGAATTCAGCTTCACGTTTCTGGGTTCAGGGAGAAATCGAGGCAAAAGTTAATGGGTGTAAGAAAAAGGTAATTGAAGTATAATCAATAATTATTATTTATGTCCTAATTAACAGTATGTATTATTATATTTTATTATAAAGTTAGGATAGTACATGTGCGCTGATTGGTTGAAAAATGTGCTTTATTATTGAATGGARCACTATGGCTTTTGCTTCTCCTTACACTTCTTTCTTGCTCAAGTCACTTCCTGCATGCTTTATTACGGAACGGAGCACGGAAAAAGCTGTCTTATTTGTTATATAATTATCCAACAATCGCCAGCGCAGAAATCATATACTTTTAATAACCAGCCAACATGTGTCGGTCAATAAGTGCCTGAATGTTTGCCAATGCTTGGTCAACTCATGGCCAATACTCAGTCACAACTTTGTCGACTGTTGGCCAAAGTAAGGCTGACAGTTGATTGATTGTTAACCAAAATGTCTCAGCCTGGTCATAAGGTAATGATTACCTATCAGCCCATGGAAAGSCCATCCCAATGAATGCTTGATTAAGGAAGACCTTCCCCCCTACTGCACAAAATGCAGTTTCTGAAAGGTTCTTAAAAAACTCCCCATTAATGTGCTTAATATAATTCTATTCATTTGGAGTGTTCTGATCATTCTAATCATTTCATCATTCTTGAAGCCAGGGTACTCACTCTGTCACTAGAAGAAAATTTAGAAAATCTTGGATCTTCTTTTATAATTTTCTTGATACTTTTCCATGATGACGTCAGAGTTAACTGAACAGAAATTAAGTCATTTTGGAATTAAAATATATTTATTCATAGAGATAAATATTATTAATAATAATATAATATTACTATAATAAGTATATTACTTCAATTATATTGGCAAACTCATTTTCAATAATTATGATAAAATGGGCATATTACAATCATTCTGAATTAAAAATACTCATCATTCAGAGACAAAGTAGGTGACTCTTTATGGGTGTCAATAAAGAGTTTCATGACATTGTTTCATGACATCATTTTAAAGGGAACATGGTTATGGGTTTGTCACCCCCCTTGATCGACATCCAATGAAAACGTAAATTTTCTCAATGCATGATTATAATGCATGTTACTGAGAAAGACTGTACCACTGGTAACTTACCTCAGACGTTTCATCAAGTAATCTTCTAAACTGTTCCCTTTTTCTGCCGTGTAGTTTAGCAATGTGGTCGTTAAATATTTTTTCTTTTTCATCCTTAGGAAGTGCATCTGCCATTGACCATCTATGATCTTTCCTAAGAGCTCTCTTGGTTTCTTTCCATGTTGCATCTGGCTTGCGAACCTTAAACCATGCAACATGAATCAATTAGCATTTGTGACCTTCAAATTTCTTGATACTCTGAAACAACCTCTGGGCCAATTTAAGTCWGGGAATGTCTAATTCATAGATTGAGCCATCTCTGTGTTAACAGCAATTCCAGATTTTATCAATCTATATACGGATACAYAGGAGACATCAAATACATGAGAAACATGGTAGTCTTTTGTTCATCAATGCTATGACTATCAATGACTTAACATGTTTTTTGTGCATTTGATGTCTCCTGTGTATTCATATATAGATTGATTCACTTGAGTGATATCGACTAAATAGGCACTAAATTGCGACTATTAGTTAATAACTATTTTGTTTTTATTTCACGGATTAAGTACCATTGCTCTAAGTGGTAAAGACACAYATTAATGGATTGACTGTTGATCAGAAGTGGTTTATATTAACAAAATCTTTCTTACCATATCTGTTAGTAATGCAATGAAGTGCTGAAAAGCTTTATCTCGGAGATGAACTTCTTTCTCTTTTTCTCTGGCTTTGGCCAACTCTGCCTGGGAAGCACGGACTTCACGCTCTCGTTCACGAATACTGGCCTCTATTCTTTCCTGCTTCTCTCTTTCCTTTTCTTTCTCTGAATTTCCCTTCTGTTTAAAATTCAGATCCCAAAAACTATTAGTATGTTATTTTCAGCCGAGTTGGAAACTATGTTGTTACTCATACACCCCTTTTAAAATTATCTTGGATACCAAAGAAATAATGCTTTTTCTTGGCAATATTCATGCCAYATTTTAATATATATTTGCTAGTTAGCGTCTTTAATATCTAAAATTATTTTGAGAGAGGTCTGTTTACATATTATTAAAAATAAATTCTGAAAAATATGAGTTTTACTTCAAACCTGTGGCAAAACTAAATTCTAGTAAGGAGAAAACAATCAATTGAACCTTGGGTATGATAAAGGGGGTCTGCCCCCCTCCTTGACCCTCCCCCTAGAACTGACACTGTCAAAACATTGAATGGTTTTGCCGATATAAAAAAGTTTGTAACTGTACTGACGTTTTGGGCATTAGTCCTTCATTGGAGTAAACTGAGAAATATTTATCATCGACAAGAGAGCATAAATAAGAGAGTTGTTGTTTTGGTACTAAAAACGAAACGGAAAGAGCACCCACACACTAGTTGATGACGCACAGAAGTAGGGTAAGGCAAAATTTAAACTGCATCCGATTTCAAAAAATAGCCCAACTGGGAATTTACATGGCACATGTCATATTAAGAAGTTTCCCTCTTATTTATGCTCTCTTGTTATTGGTTATTACTAAATAGATCATTCAGATGTCTTACCTTTTCCAGAAGTGCTACATATTCCCTAAAGTATTCTTCCTTAGTTGCAATACTTTCAATTGCTTTGTACCTCGGATCATCATCAATCTTAGCTTTCACTTTGTGCCACTTGGACTTTGCATCTAGTTTCTGTTCTGACAGTAGATCTAAGAAGTCACTCTGAAGCTAAAAACCCATAGGAATAGAAACATTAGAATATTTTTATTAATAGATTATCAGGTATCAGAGTAAGAAAAAACTCCATTTGTTTACTGTTTATTCTAGGATATGCATATTAAACCTAAGCAAATTTTCTTAAAAATCAATTTTAAAAGCTAGTTTTAAACCTGGCCCAGAATGACAAAAATATAACTTACTGTATAATATATTTTAATCAATAAATCTCAAAAAATATCAATACCATAAACATTATTCTTTAAGTATCAAAATAATTGCAACAGCCTATTTCATGAGCAAAGTTTAAATAGGAATCCAAATCTATAAATAGAAAATCAATGAGACAGAAATCAATCACAACCAAACTTGGATTAAAATCCAAAAAGTCCAAAAAGGATTAATTAGTTCCAATGAATTTCCTGAAGGAATCAAAGGTACCATGTTGATTTACTCTTGACTTCAACCTTTTATCAGTTCAAGAATAATGTTGTGCGAAGAGGATTAGGGAGACATCTAGAGGGATGATATAATGCATTCGGCACATATGACTGTGCATAATGTTCCTAGGATAGAGCAAGTATTCATCTTATGCAACAATGCATGGTACATGCAACTGAAGAAGAATGGCTGCTGAATAATAAAGCTTAAATCTAACAAAACCCAAAGCAAAAATAGTATTAAAATAGTTTGAGCAGAAGAGGATGGAGGGGTCCCAAAATAGGAAGAAAAGCTGCAAATGTGCAAATCTCAAATGACTACAAAATCAAAGGAGATTTTTGATAAACCATGAATGCTAGGAAAGAAGAGTGAACAATKTTGTTTATTATATCTCTGTCCTTTGCAGAAGTAGATCATTTCATTGCCACATTGTTCTGCAGTGGGATCGAGAGGTTTTGATATGGGATATTAGTATGAAATGGAACAAGATAATTGTTTTTCTAAGATAAAAAAAAAAATCAGCTGTTTGATGAATCAGATACATTTTTGATAATATTTAGCAAGTACTGAGCTCGAGTATAATTTAAAATTGACAAAAGTTCTATTAATATCCCAGAAAAGTGYAATAAAAAAGACAAATAAAATATATCTCTGGGAAAGACTGGAATCGAAAATTTCTCTTTCTTTTTTTGATAGAAACTATTAATGATAAAAAAAATGAAAAATATATCATATATTTAAATATCAGGTTTTAGGATGTACACTTTGTTTCTACTAAGTTGAGCTATCAGCTGATTGTGATGTCTATAGATGTAACAGAACTAAAAGTAATTTGGAAATCATTTCATTTACCTTCTATTGATGGATCAGATTATTCACAACATGGATCAAGAGTGATGAAAAAGCAACTATAAATGCAGGCCAGCACGGCTAGCTTGGCAACTGTATGCTGTGTTTATAGTATTAGAGATAATGTTAACACTGTCAAATATCTTCAAATCTACCAAAAGTAAGCATCAATCAATAGACTTAATCCACCTAGGCATGATAACTTCCCATTTCAGTTCTTGTGTAACTCTCTTGAGAATAAGATTATTCGTTTAGTTGTGTCCATTGGATTTTCATGTGTCTTTTGGTGCGTATCCATTAAACAAAAAAATGATACTCCAGGGAATGACACATGGTCTGAAATGGTAAAACCTAGCAACAATAAAGTACTCTTTGAGCACACCATCGGTCACTCTGTTTTTAAGTTGTTTCCTGTGCAGATTAATTTTAACACAAGATTGAATGAACTACATAGTATGCTAAAATTGCCTGCAATAATAATTGCTTTACTATTTTGTTTTAATTCTAAAGGTTTGTTTTGTCATTGTTCCAAAAGTTAGAATCAAAAGATCAAAAACAAACTTTTGAATCAAAGAAAATCCAACATTATTTACTAAGTAAACATTGTTTTGAACCAGTAGTTTTTTTTTGTTTTTAATTTACCAGTAACAAGAGAAGTTATGAGATTTTTTGGTTATGTTGGATTTCCTTCAGGACAAGCAGGTTTTGAATGAATGGGATTATTACCAGTATATTGTCTACTCCAAGCTACTCAAAAACAGATTAACTTATATTTGCAATTATAATTCTGAAGTTCCACGTTTATAAACATAATAATTGTCATTGTGACGTTAATTAGCCAACCATTTTAAGGATGTAGATGACGACTAGTTTTGGAACTAGTTTGGACTGCGTCAGTGTTTTTTAGTTGAATCAAGTGTGTTGTAGTAGATAATTTTATCACTGTAGGTACGAAAGATAGTAGACTGACGTTTCGGACGTTAGTCCTCTGCGGGGTAAATCAAGGATGGGTTTTGTCAATTTGCTTTGTTGGCTTTTCCAATAGATTTTTGGTTGGTAATTTAGATAACGATCAAACGAAACAAATTGTTTCATGGTATGTCAGCCTAACTGTTCTTGCTTTGTAAGTGAGGGTGTCATAATACAATCATTTCAAAATCTGCTTGTTCTTTACAGTATACAGGCCTTAAAATAATGCTGGTCAGTTGCCATAACATGATCGCCAGCAAAATAGGTTTTAGTTCAGTCATTTTACATAAGGTTTCTGACTCAACATTACTAGTCAAAATGACTGGCAAGGCAAACATTTAACTGGACAAGTTTCAATTCTGGCTGGACAATGTCTGATGACCAGCTGTTTTTTTAAGCCCTGCTATAATTGATAACCATACCTGATAACCAGCAAACTCACAAACCCAAAAAACCTGTCCTACCTTATCATGCTTGGTCTTTGAAGAATCCTTTTCTTTCTTCTTGGTTTCAGCCACATACTCTGTAAACAATGCTTCTCTGTCCTTCATCTTCTCTATTGCTTTGAAAACATCATGTTTACCATATTTGGCAGCAAAATCACTGAATGTTGTTCTGCAAAAAAGATGGTTTGAATCATTAATATAAAGAAAGGGAATGCTTTGGGATATCTTTAAGTGATGGGAAAAAGGATGGAATGGATGGAAAGAAAAAAAGAGAAATTTTTGTTGCTAAATGCATCTACATGTATATGATGGTTTGACAATGTTTGAATGGAACCATTAAGTTAAGAAATGGCTAATAATATTTATTGTGAAAAGGCAATATTGAACAAGTACTTTTTTCTATTTTCTTGAAGTATTTTGCATCTAAACGATTTGTTTAGACCAAATGAATGTTTCGTTTAGATGAGTTGCAGACTTTTCATTTTCAGGAAGGAAGAAATAAAGAATGAAAGGAAAAGAAGAAAAAAGAAAAGAAAAGAAACCCTCCCATTTCCTTATATCTATATAACAAAGATGGTAAATTCTAACTTCCAACTTTGAGCCCTCAAGTTACTTCCCTGCTAGCAGAGCCTATTTTCCTTTTGTTTTGGTTGAGAGAGAAAAATAGACTCTGCCGATGTAGGACGTTATTTCTGTCGCGCATGCGTGGCGTAACTTAGCAACTCTGTCATGATTTTGACAGCCGCTCTCGTCAAACGATGTTTGACGCCACGGTGTGTTACATTTGCTCATGCGCACTACATGTAATCGGTTAAAAACTGGTTTTAAAACTGGTTTTGTTCTTCCACAATCGTGGACGGCGGCGTATCAAAGGAAACGCTCTACATCGGCAGAGTCTCCTTCCTCCCCGCCTGAAAGAAGGGAGAGAAAGAGAAGAGAGACTCTGCTAGCAGGGAATCAAGTTACAAGAACTTACTTATGAGACACCTTAGCAATCTTCAATAATTCTTTGAAGTTTTCTTTTTTCTCCTTCAACTTGTTTTTCCTTTCTTGTCTTTCTTCTTCAGCTCTTGTTCTAACAAATTTTTCAAAGCACTGTTTGCGCTCTCTTGGAACTAATAGCAAAAATCTTGGGTCAAACACTATCTTGGGAAGTTCCTTTTCCCAGGTTGAGAATGCGGAGACCTGAAAATATCAAGGATATTAATATCAGTATCACTATAAGCTTTTAAGGAATTGTGTTGAGCATGCTGAAGGTGATCTGATCTGTAAACAATAGGACAACTTTACCCCATGTTACACTTGCCTAGTACAAATCCAATAAAAAGATGAGAATCTTTGGAAAATAGGTGAAAAAATGGATGATATTTTTGTTATTTACAAAGATTATGTGAATAAATACAAAGCCATGCAAAATGCTGCATGACAGATAAACAAATCCATTTCATGAATGGAGTGTTGTTTGTCACCAGAAACACAATGCCTTTTTCTCATGTGAAACTATGGCTCAGTGGAATATGTAGTACCTAACTAAACTAGCTAACATTACTGCCACTTTCATAAACATGCGAACTCTGTAGTTGGTAAGGTCCAAGCTGAAATTTTGTTTTTCTCTGCCGCCAGTCAAAAATACAAGGAACCGACTGATTATTTATGATTGACAGCAGCAAAAAAACAAATTTCAACATGCAGCTTGAAACTACAGAGTTTATGAAAATAGCAGCCACTAGAAAATTAACCATTTTAACGGCCTGAACAGCTCCCCTGCATCTTTCTACACAATGGAATGAAAAATAAAATCAGGTAAAAATAAAGACAGTATAACTATCACCCACCCCTCGTTCTAGCATCATCTCCCTGAATTGCTTCATTCTCTCCTCCAACGGCAGCATATTTCTAGTATCATGTGCTCCTTTCTGATGTCTTGGTACTTCTTGTTGTTGCTGGGATTTTGTTTCTTCTTTCATTAGTTTTACAGATGTTTCTGGTTCTGTGGGCTCTGGATCTACAGCCATTGGTCCTTCTTCTGTGTCACTGTCAGATCTATGTCGGGTTAATATAAGTGCATAATTYAATAGATAGAAAACCCATCACAATCAAACTTCGCAATCTGCACTACAACACATGATTTGCACATCCCCCTTAAATATTCATTCCAATGGAAATGACACTAGAGTGCTCACACTAAACCCGTGAAACTAATACTAATTTTTACCACTAAATAGTGATAACTAAACAATAGAAAACAAAGGATTCTGTATGAAATAGTACTAATCCGTACTATTATTGTGCACTGGTTTAGTGAGTGTACTCTAACATGTATGCATTTATTGAAGTTCTAAATGATAAAAATCTACCTCATTTTCTTGCGTTCGGGTTCATCATCATCATCATCTTCACTCACAGATTTCCTAACCTTATTTTCTATCCCATTAATAATGTAAAAACAAATAGTTAATTATTCTGACAGGACATTAAAGTAGCAATTTGATGATAGCCAACTTTGCCAATAAAAATTAGAATTACCATGATGAAAATATTACTGTGCAAGGAGCCAGTTTTATGCCGTCACTGTATACCAATCTTATAGTGGCCGAGCGGTTAGTGGTTCAAGTCCCGTGAGAACCCAACTGAAGCAGATTTTTTAATCTGCTTATACACTCGATGTAGCATACACTTTACATATCAATCTTATAATCTTTTTTTCCCTGCTGTCTCCCTTGCTGGCAATTCTTGGCAGAGAAAATCTACTGAGAATCGCAAATGAGGGAGACTCTGATGGTAGGGAAAAAAATATTTTCCTTAACCATGTTAAATTGATAATCTATTTTTCTCTTTTTGTCATCAACTCTTTTTCCTACTCTCTGCAATCCAGAGCGGAATATTCCAACATTCATTGACTAACCTTTCTGTTTGTTAGGTGGACCCTTCTCAACAATTTCATCTACTTTTTCGTTATCTTGTAGTTCCTCTGGTTTTTCCCATATTGATAATCTAGTAGTAGGGTTGAAGAAGAATGCCTTGCCAGTACCTGTCCACACCACACACCAAGATGTACCAGGAACAAGCTGACTGGCAATTGGTTTCCCTGTTTCATTTACTTCACTCTTGTTTTCTCCACCTATGTAGAAATCACCATCAGTCAGTCAGTTTAGGTTGGGTATAATATTTCCCCATATCTAATAGGTGTTATCCTCTTAGAATAAGATCCTTTGTTTGAGTTGCATGTATATTCATGTGTCTTCTGGTGCACAACAGTTCAACAAAGAAATGATACTCTAGAGAATGACATGTTGTCTGAATGTGATCAGTCAAAGTCACCCATTAAGAGGACTGGTCTACCAGAGTTGTTTGTCCAAACAAGTGCCAATTTTGGCCATACATTGTTTATTGAACAACCATTATTTCAAGCCCTGAAATATATGAATAGACCGTTTTCTCTGGGTTGCGTGCGCATCCAAATTAAAGGAACTTGACGGGCCACTAAGCCAGAACATGAGGTATTATCATTCATTGCTATGATTTTTTYCCCATAACAGTTCATAAAATCGATTATTCTCCTCTTTAAATATAAAACTGGCTTCTCAATTTCACTGAATTTGCGTCTTTCGATTTTGTGGCCCGACAAGTTTGATGGGCACGCAACCTTGAGCAAACGGCCTATTCATGTATATCTATTAAATTTGGAATTAGTGAATATTCAACACCACATCATTGTCTAAGTGCAACTGAAAGACTGAACCCAAAACAGTAGTTATGTAAACGTTATGAAGGTTACTGTAAAAAGCTGACAATTCATTATAACCATCATTTCCCACCTTCATTTTCTCCTCTTTTACTGGCTTCAACTTCCTGGATCTGTTGAGCATCCTTATCTCCTCCACCCTGACCAGGCAGACTACCAGCTGCAGGTCCTCTTTGGCCAGGAAACATTCCTGGTAGCACTTGTGGTGGCATTCCTATTATTGAAATATAAATGTTAAACCTTTAACCATATGAAACAAATGAGCACAAAGACCCAATATAAATTGTCTAATGTCAAATGTATCATAAATGAGTGAATCTTGACATACATTTGTTTGTTTTAGCTTCTTTAACCAGTACAAAAACCTTGATTGTATCTAYATTAATTACCATACCTGTCAATGGTGGCGGTGGCTGATCCATCTCTTTGGGTCTTTCCCACACAGACTGCATGGTCCTAGAGTTGTAATAATACACTTTACCATCAGCTGTTCGGTGTTCTGACCATTCACGTTGTGGAGGCATACCCATTGGCAAGAGGCCAGGCGGTGGCATTCCAGGGATCGGCATCCTTGGTAACCCTGGCAACATCCCAGGGGGRGGCAAGTTCATGTTGTGGGGAAGCATGTTTGGAGGTCTCGTGTTTTGACTGCAACAAATAATTACTTTTATTATGCATTTTACTCACTATCTCGCTTCTGATTGGACGATAGCCTACAGGCAATCCATAATACAGTATAGCGTGAACTTGACATGGTATTATCTGTAGGTTTAGCTGTAGATAATCGGTTATCATGTAAAGTAAAATGTTTGCTATTTTTCAAAAGCAGAATTAAGTCTTTATTATTAGTTTACAAAATTTATGATAAAACAATTATTGAATACGGTTTCCGCATGATATCATAAATTATTATAAAGACCTTTGCCATTTTATCCACCTCAGCCTACTCTACTCTCTGGGTTGCCTGGCAAGAGCTCTCACTACTACACCACATGTGCTTACAAACCCCCATCATGGTTGTCATTCTCATCAGCATGGCTATCACCCTCACCATCTTCAACCCAACGATTATGCAACAGCAGCTATATACAAAAGCCCCCTTAATATATTGCAACTTTTACTTTACCTCGGTGGCATTGTGTTAATGTTGGGGCGGAAAGGTAGTCCTTGAAGAAGTCCTGGTCGCTGCATTTGAGAGAGCAGTGGCCTGAGCTGTTGATTTAGAAGACTTGGAAGTTGCTGAACAGTTTTTTGTGACCCTGAAAAATGTTGCCCCCCATGCTGATTGGGAGGTTTCTGTTGACCATTTTGCTGATCTTGTCGACCTGGGTGTTGCTGGTTGCCTTGTTGCTGGATATTCTGTTGCTGATGTGGTATAGCTGGATATTGCTTAAGCTGCGGTTGCTGAATAGGTTGCTGTTGAATTGGCTGGTGTTGTACTGGTTGCTGGTGTTGTCCAGGTTGTTGGAGTTGTTCCACAGGTTGTTGATGTTGTCCAGGTTGTTGGAGTTGTGCTGGTTGCTGATGTTGCACAGGCTGCAAATGTTGGCCAGGTTGCTGTTGTTGTCCATGCTGTGGTTGTTGCATTGGCTGACCTTGTTGTTGTCCAGGCTGTGGTTGTACTTGCTGCTGCTGTCCAGCAAACTTCGGCAATGGTTGGTGTTGATGCTGCTGAGACTGTTGCCCTGGCTGCTGCTCAGGTTGTAGATGTGGTGGTGTTTGTTGCAATGTTTGGTGCTGTGGCCCAGTCTGTGGCTGCATTTGTTGAAACTGTTGTCCAGGTTGTTGTAATTGTCCAGGATGCTGCTGTGGTAAAGTTGATTGTGTTTGTTGCTGTTGATTGCTTTTTGGCTGCTGTGGTGCTTGAAATGGTTGTCCTAAAGGCACCTGAGGCTGAAATTGTTGTCCAGGTGGTTGGTGTTGTCCAGGTTGTTGAGGTGGTTGGTGTTGTCCAGGTTGTTGAGGTGGTTGGTGCTGTCCAGGTTGTTGAGGTGGTTGGTGTTGTCCAGGTTGTTGAGGTGGTTGTTGTCCAGGTTGTTGAGGTGGTTGGTGTTGTCCAGGTTGTTGAGGNGGTGGTTGGTGTTGTCCAGGTTGTTGAGGTGGTTGTTGTCCAGGTTGTTGAGGTTGGTGTTGTCCAGGTTGTTGAGGTGGTTGTTGTCCAGGTTGTTGTGGTGGTTGGTGTTGTCCAGGTTGTTGTGGTGGTTGGAGTTGTCCAGGTTTTTGCGGTAGTTGGTGATGTTGTCCAGGTTGTTGTGGTACTTGTTGTCCTTGTGGCTGTTTATCTGGATTTCCTTGGCCACCATGCTCTTGCTGTTGAGGAATTTCCCCTTCTCGACTTGCTGCTTGTGGTGCATTCTGCTGACCCTCACCCTAAGACCCCAAAAGCAAAACATCAGTTTCACCAAGAAACTATATCCCTTGAAAAAACCCCTGGTCTGATCGCATTCTGACCAAAACTAACACACAGATCAAATTAAAAATTTAGCATGATATATTTTACCAAGGGGAAAAAAAACAGAATTAAAGTACCAAGAGAAACACCATGAATAAGCAATCAATGGATACAGGAGAATGGAGCCTAAGACTTTAGAAACAAGACCCATAGTGCACTACTGAAACATCTTTGATTCCAATAAAATATAAAATCAAATAGTCAGTTCAGGGATCATTCATTTTTTTACTGGGGAGAAAGGGGATGGAATTTGAGTGGGTTCATTAAAAAAGACAGTGGGACAAATCCCAATGGTTTCACCCCACCATCGCTCCCTGATAAAAAATGAACTGTCCCTTGGGATTGAAGTTATATTGTTTCAGAGAATGACATAATTTACAAGAATAAAGCAGTGCACAAAACTGACCTGGTTTTTTGGTGGTGGTTGGCTTCCTGGTGGCGGCATCAAGTTTTGAGGTTTTTCCCAAGAGGATTCTCTTGTTCTTGCATTATAATAATAGATTTTCCCCTCAGGAGTCTTGTTTTCTAACCAGACATCACCATTGCTATCAATCATTGGAGGTTGAAGTTTAACTGCTGGTGGAATGCCTTGGGGACCCTGAAGATTTTAAAGCAGAGCTCTATTGCTTACTATCAATCACGCGACTTTTTGGAGTTGACTGGGGGGCAAACAAGCGGTTGACTGGGGGGCAACTAGCGGATGCCAAGTCAAAACATATCAAAATAAGTCCTCAAACTATTGCATTTGACTATTTTCAAGACATCAAACCAGAAAACAAGAGATCAAAACAACCTCCAGGATTCTACAAGCCATCAAAAGAGCTATTACCGGAAGTGATGTCTATTGATAGCAACCTATAAGTGGTTTGTAATAAACCTTTCACAAATTCGCTTGATTGACTATGAAGCATCAGCTCCAAGCTGAGGTTGGATCATATCGTACTTGTATATATGTGTATTTGTATACATCCATGTGATAGGAATCTTTTATAAATCATGCGATATAAATTCGGCTTCTACATTAAGTCATTGGTTCATGGTCACTCAAGCCAATGGACTATTTCAACGATATAGCAGCGTTTTTGAATTGCAAGGCATTATGGGGGGCATAACAAAACATTTGTTGCATAATACAGGTTCCACTGGCCGATGACCAACTGACATCAATACAGCTTGTTGCAAATTAAGCACTGTTTCCAGTGGATGATATAATTTATTTACATGTCAGTTAGCATTTCCTTGGGTGCATATCCACCATGTTGGTTGATAATAACAAAGAATTCCTTAATAAGCTTCTCTCGTTAGATCAACCAAGATGGCAGCTTTTCTGAAACATTGTTATTTATATCTCAAGGGATTTTTTGATCACTTGGCTACATTCCAAGAATTTAAAGAAAGCAAATTTTTGTGGTAAAATCTAGCCAACCCCATAATCATGAAAACTCATTTAAACTAAGAACATACATAGTTTGGATGAGGGTATGATTACGCCCAAATTTTGAAGCTAAGAATCCCTGATCTCCTTCTGAAATGACAATAATACATGTATATGCTCCCTACAGGACCCTACCTGCATTCCTGGAATCAAAATATTCCTTATATTTGGCATCACTGCTCTTGGGTCAAAAGGTGGTGCCTGAAAACCTCCTGGGGGTTGTCCCATCAGTGAACCAGGTCCTCCAGCTTGTCCCCCTCCAGGTACTGGTCTAGGAACTGGTCCCCGTACTGTATTAATGGGATGGCCTGGTTGTGACATCAATGGAGGTACTGCTGGTCTCATAGTAAACTGAAAGAAAGACAGACTGATTATATAAAAAAATGGTATACAAAAAGTTTGTTATGAAATGTGATCGTCCAGGTGAGCGTAGTCTTGAGAAAGACTATTGTTGGTGGTGACTGACATTTTGACATCCTGAGCGGAAGTCATCTTCAGAGTCCAGAGTCTCTCGTTTTCTCACTAGTTCCACAACAAACCTGAACACCTGGGTTCAAACCATTAATTTACTCTTATGAAAAAAGGTCAAGAAAAATTTTTTTACTTCAAAAGAATAAGAACATAAGTTAATTGGCTTACAGTCAACTCTCGTTACAGCGGACACCCTCGGGACCGTCACTTCATGTCCGTAATAGCGAGCGTCCGCAATAGCAAGAGTTTTTTACAGTCATTTCTTTGTCAGTATTTTTGTCGGGGATTTTTCTCCTGTCCGTAATAGCAAGGTGTCCGTAATATCGGGGTGTCCGCAAGACGAGAGTTGACTGTATAAACTTCCAATTATGAAAACGCATACTTGATCAAAATGTATTCCTACAACAACATTCAAAAATATCTGTTTTCGTCATTTTTAACATAAGCAAAGCCATAAATATGCAATAAAGTAGCAGCTTTTAAATCTTCGTTTGGAATTTTCGCATTTCAAAGGCAAATAACACTTCGTAACGAAGTTTACACAGACATGTGCTTGGGGTGCAAAATAGCTGAACGCTTGTTTATCACTGCTTATCATTTTAGACGCTGTTTAAGGAACGAAAAGGGCATAAAAGAACACAAAAAACCTCCTTATCCTCAAAAAGGAAAATACGAGGGTAAAAGATACCTTACCTTGTGTTTTTATCGTTTAATTGAAGCAATAATTCAACTTTTTTCCCCTCGAGTTTTATCCTGTGCAGATGGCCGCCATGTTAGATAAGACCAGCATGCAGTGCGAACAGCGTCCCGGATGTATTATTGGGCTACCTGTGGTAAGTAAGTATATGAAAACCTTGAGGTTCCAATGGCAAGTAACAAGTAGTTTTATGCAATTTTTCCTTTTCTTGGTTGATTAAAAAAATTGCAGCTAATTTTGAAGTTTTTATTTCCTTGGCCTAAGACCTAACCAAGACATAAATTATTTATTTTGATGGTTTTAATCTATTTTAATATTTTATCGTTAAGTAGAGGACGAACTTAATATATACAGTAAGTAAAAACACATCAAGTTGAACCTTGACTTGTTTCCATACTTTTGTTTTGTGGTGACTCAAGCAAATTTGATAAATGTCTATTGATTTTTAGCTTACTCTCTTGTTAATTTATTTTTGCTCTGTCTACTTTAAATATTACCTAACTATCCCATAGCCTTGGAAGAAAAATAATTCACTCGATATTTTTCTCTTAATTTTTWAAAATAATAGTTTATATGTTTCAGGACTAAAATACATTAAATTAATATTACACAAAATATAATAACTCTATAGGCCTTATATACATACAGATATCAAGCATGTTGCTTTTTGTGTATATGAATTCCCCCAGTGGTGAAATTATTTGAAGTGAGCATTGCCGTTCCAAGGTTGAGAAAAAAACTGGGTTGAGATCGCATTAAAGTGCATTATTGGTATGTTTGAGGGGACCAAATAGACGCCATTTTGGAAATAATTGCCCCCTAAAACGGTCCCACAATGCACTGCGATTCCAAATTGACCCAGTTTTTCCCCTTAATCTTGGAAAGGCTAATTATCACAAGTCATTATTTCCATGTTTTTTCAAAATGTCACATATTTAAATTTTTACATAATTATCGAATAGAGTCCTTAGTTGTGATGTCATCAAATTCCAAATTTTGTGTTTAAGTTTTGAAATGTTCAAATGAGAACATATCATTTGGAACAGTAACAACATTGCCCACACAACATTGCCCACATTTTGGCCAACTTTAAGGTTGTTGCGATCTGTAAAACTAAAGATATTTGGTTTAAGATCCTGAAATCATACAATTTCTCAAATTATTTCACCAAAATCCTAAAGTTCTTAAAGAATAATTTTGTGACATCATCACTTTGGTACTCTATTCCTAGAAAATATTGTGTTAATTAATTCCAGGCAGAAATAATTTTAAAGGTGCAGTAAAGATGACAACAAAATCATGTTAAAGTGCCATTAATTATGCTGCATTGTTGCGAGTAGTTGCAGTGTTACGTTATGAGTATTACCAATAAAAAATGCTGTTGTAAAGAGCAATGATAATTTCCAGTACAGCTGGCAATAAAAGCAGTTATCAAACCATGTTTTACATTCAAATCTAGTTGGATTCAGCTATTTATCTATTCTTTCCCCTTTTTACCATGACGCAAATATTTGAATATGAAGTAAAATAACTTTAAAAGTTTCTACAGTTATAGTAAGGGTATTTCCTTTCCTTTTGAGTTTTCTAAATTATAGACTGAATAACAGCTAACATACAAAAAATATTACACTTTGAACACTCTAATTTTTAACAATCGTGAATTTACCATTCACTTTGCAATCCGCATTGTGCATCAAGCACAATGCTTGGATTTTCTTCAAGAATTATAGCCGTATGAAAAGCTATATGCATACACATGGATATTTTAAGAGTAGTATTTACCAATTATTATAAAATAATTGTAAACTAATGTCCCATTTATTTCATTAATTACAAGAGCATTTCGAATTATTTTCCACATTATGACCAGGAAGAATAGTCCCATTTTCTCCCACAACAAGTCCTCTTCTCCCAGTATCATTTTCAACTATATGTTTATTCAAGAGTCTTGCTAAAAGATGAAAGGCATCTTTAACATTCTTAGAATCTCTTGCACTGGTCTCAATGAATGGCATGTCATGCGTCGTAGCCCATTCTTGGCCAGTTTCTGTAGACACTTCTCGATCACTTTCCAAGTCTATTTTGTTGCCAACCAGAATCGAAAGAACCCCTTCAGATGCATAGGTTTCAATTTCTATCAACCATTTGTGTAAGTGGTTGTACGACTCTCTCTTTGTGATGTCATAGACAATCATTACACCATGGGCACCTCTGTAGTATGATGATGTAATTGTTCGAAACCGTTCTTGGCCAGCTGTATCAAGAAAAAATAACAGTTATTTTTGCTCTAGAGTTTACTCTATCTCTAATGCTACAAATTGATAAAGAAATGATCTAAGATCATAATATTTGCAATAAGACAAAAAAATAAGTATGAGGTGTTAAACTTTTTTATGCCCTATTGATAAGTTTAACAGCTTCCTTGACTTTGATCAGCCTAGAGGTTGTTTCAGAGCAACAATAAAATCTCAGAAACCAGAAACATCAATCCAAATAGAATAACCTTTTCGTGAAAAAGATAAAACGATTAGCTAAATTGTTAGTAGGAAGGACCTGTCTTGAATATTTTATAGATATAGAATAAATTGTTTAAGCGGCAGAATTGAAACAGATTATTTAATATTGACATTAGCCAATGTAAACAGTTTTAGCTCTTCTGTTTTCACTTTTTAAAAGTTGGACTAACATTTCACTCTAATGAATATAAACGTTTCCTTTTATTTCCTATCTGTTAAATTGCATTTTTAGACGAAACCAATAAAAAAATACAGGTAAAGAAAGAAAGAAAAAAGGAAAAAAAGGAACTATCAAGCATAATCTGTTTAAAGAATAATCTTAAAAAATTGTTATTGAATTATACAGATGTTGATATCATTTTAAGGATTGTCTATCGTCAAGTAATTAGTGGATTCAGCATAGTATTTATAATTTTTAATTGTGCGGTGTTTATTATTGACAATCGATAAATATAATAGTACTAGTATTTGTAATAATAAATCCAAGGTAGCCGTGGCTCATTATGGCCTCATAACACAGATAGATTACCTCATAATTGAACAGGAAGCTAACACTTTCGTGGCTTTTTCAGAAATAAAGTTAATGGTTAATCGAATTGCGTTTTGAAAAAATCGGAAAAAATCGACATTTCTCCTATAGTCGAAGTTGTCATGTCTAATATAACGTAATTACAAATGAAAATACGGAAAACGGAAAAAGTTGGACATAATAATTTATGTTTGAAATCTTAGTGTCGAAATGTCTGGCATAAAATAATTTTCATTGTTATGGCGCTGTACCCGCGAAAAAAGAGTTGGTCCCCGTGATTTAAGCGGAGGGAAAACATATTTCAACCAAACGTTGAAACCTTTTAAAATCTTAAACGAAATGTTTTGGTATTTTTACTAATAGTGTTCTCTAATCTTTGCGTAAACAAGTGAAGATGAAAATATAAATTATTAGTATTATGACAGCGGGGTTTTTCGAGGGATCTCTTATTTTCCTCATAGCTTTTCGGGTCTTTTGGTAATTTCAATTTCATTGTACTCGTTGACAATCTCAGTTCGCATCCAGACACCACGAACAGGGCTACAGTAATCGATGTTCCGAATATCAAAGTTCACTTCATCCTAGCTTAACGTCAAAATAATCTATCCTACCTGTGTCCCAGATCTGTAGTTTAATGATTTTGCCATCCAACTCAATAGTTTTAATTTTGAAATCCACTCCGATAGTACTGAGGTAGCTCTCTCGGTGCGAGTCGTCGACGAAGCGAAGCAACAAGCACGACTTACCGACACCTGAGTCTCCGATCAACAATATCTTGAACAAATAATCATACTGAACTTCAAGATTGATTCTAGAATCGTCCTCCATTATCACAGTTTTTTTCTAAGGCGAATGGTAGCATATAAATTAGATTGACATCCGCAAGAAGTGGTAGGACTCCAACTTGATCACTCAACACGATGTATGATTAAAATATTCTCAAAATGTGGCGGGCAGGCTGACCTTTAATTAATGTATGCAAATTTAATATCTCTTATCAATCACACTTGTCCTATCTTTTTCTAATTTAATATTCCCATTACATTATTTGCCTCATTTTTAATAAATAAGGTGCTGGTTCTCGGAAATGATTACTAAAATCGAGTTTCATTTATTTTTGGCGAAGAAGTAACATTTTTTCGAGTGCTCTCTTACTGTTGTCAAATTCAAAATAGTTTAATTTTTGAAGAACTTTATAACACGCAGAGGGATGGTACCTCTTGGACTGGTTGCGGATCCGGTTTTTGCTGTTTTGTGACAGTAGGATAGCTTGTTTTGTGAAATTAAACTTTGTTGTTTTAAAGATACCATCGTATCTAGCATATTTAACTATATGTATCTAGCAATCGACTGCTCATTAAAGTCATTCGACTGTTCATTTCCTGTTGTTGGTTCAATTTTCATCTTTCCTACTCAAAAACATGTCATTAGAATAGTTCAAAGGTTTACAAGCTTTTACAAACTGGGAAATGATAATACGAATGATAATCTTTATTCAAAAGTAGGTAAACGAATACAGCAAAATCTAAAGTTGTTTTCAATTTGACCAAAAAAACTGCCGAGGGATCTAGTTATAATCAGCGAAAAATACGATGCCGTTTATCAATTGATCAGAGTACTTGGTTAATCTAAGTAACACAATCCGGTGTGGCAATAGGATCTTACTACGATGCAGATAACACGATAACTGTAGACGTTAGTGGACGCACGTTTCGACAATAGATACTCACGAAATCATGCTCAGTAATACGTTTTCATGAATGCGTTTTTTAAGAAGCTATTCAAAACCCAGATAATCATTAATTTTTTTCCCGAAGTGCCCACCCTCTTCACATGGAGTCTAAAACATGAGGAAAACTAACAAGTTTATTAGCCTAAACCTATGGCTGTTTAGCGCTACCCCGTTAAAATAATTTCTCCAACTACAGTCTCACACTGCCCTCCCTCCCAAAAAGTTCAATCCATTTCCGTGCCCCTTACCCCAACACGATGATACACTAGTAACCTCGATAAAAACTATACAAACACTCCACACTGAATCATGTGATAAACCGGGGTGGGGTATGTTTAAACTTTTCTGACTTTTCTAACGGATCCCCTACCCGGCTGAAACATCTTTAAAGCTTCCTTTACTAAAGATTTTTAAGCCCCATATGCTTCGCTTCCTCCCCAGAAATAGTTGCAAAGAAGATCCCGTAATAGACGACCGAGCTTCCCTCTCCTCCCAACAAAACTGAGGAGCAATCATGCTCAAAAACAGCTCCTCCCATCAAAGTACATCAAAAATCTTAACAGACACAATTCCCACACACACCGCGCACGCGCACAAGGATCAATTCATATAAAAGGGTAAGCGAAGAGCAATCTCGTACCCAGAGCCTTTATTTCTCACAGCGCATGCTCGAGAAATAAAGGCTCAGAGTACGAGATTGAACGAAGAGCTTGTCATATATACAACATAAAAGTTTCACCAAATGCGCGACAATTATATACTAAACAACGTCAATCATATATTATTCAAGTTTTATTCACACTGTTAATCGTTAAACTTGTACTAAAAATATATTTACGATTAGGTGGTTCACAAAAGGGAAAAAACTAAATAAATTATTTAGACTAAAAATTAAATAAATGAAGAAATGGTGGCCACACTGGATAGAATGTTAATTGTTCTATACAATACTGGATGGAATATAAAACGGCTTCATCCAACATGGCCGCTTTTTTAAAAAAAATTTAAGGAAAGACAATGAAATCCTACTAGACATAATCCCATAAGAAATAAAGTGTAAACTTGCCATTCCCAGAAAGGTTTGCAAACCACCCACCGACTGCTAAGTATTTTTGAGCTTAATACCTCAGGCAGCGTAGATATTCTAATAAATCAATAAAATGAAAAATCGTATGATTTACGAATCACTAATGTCGCAAACAGAAATCCTGTTGAGAATAAGGGTATATGAATATGATATAACTACAATAAAAAATGAAAAATCTACGACTTAGAATTCTAATCTCTTTCTTTTCATTAATTAAAAAGTGATTCCCATGCCATGACTTACAATTAATTCCATTCGGTTGAAATGGTCAATATTGCCGCCCACGCGTAAAACAGGTAAGCCCAACTATGCTCGACTACTACGCTTTTCATGTACGTGCACAAATACAAATGAATACTTTATTTTGAAACTATTACATCCATGTAATTCAACATGCAATGTAATGCTAATGGTCCGAGAAAAAGAACTTTGGTGTTATGTAAGATTTGGAAAATATCCATTTCTTTTAGACAGCCGATTCAGCCTTTTCTTATTCCTGTGTATTAGATGCCAAATGGCGTGCATACATGCTAAGATTAATTTTATTAGTAGTTACGTAAGTGATCATTATCGTCCCAGAGCTTGCTTTTCTAGTCTCTGTCGCAAAAATTGCGTTTGCAAAAAACAAATTGCGTTTGCAGTTGCATTATCGTAGTCTACGATTTTACTGGTGTTTGTGTTTGGGGACATTTTCATAAAAATGAAAACGTTTCCTCTCTTTACTTTTGCATTTGCGTCATTGTATTTACGTTACTATAGTACGCGTAATTTTGCTTTTGTTTGCACTGCTCTGTTGATTTTACTGCAGGAGTAAACAGAATACAAGCTCCAGAAACGAGAAGTTATAAACTACACATGCGCAGCTCAACTGTTCATGCGTACGAGCGTACCTGCGCGTTCTTCTAGTGTCTGATTCTATTTATAATATCGAAATACACTGAATATCATCCTCGGGAACCCAGGGTAAAAATTTTGTCGCTTGTTTCTCGCTAACAGAAATAAAAAAATCTAAGTATTTTTTCTGGGAGCGAGAAACGAGCGACAGAACTTTACCCCTGGGTTTACGAGAATGACCAAATATCTGCTCCCTATATATATAATAAGTTAGGGTGAAGATAAGTCTATAAAGGGGTCTTAAAATTAAAATAATTGGTGAATAAAACGAAGCTAAACTAGCATGGGACGAGGGATCGTCAATATCTAAAATTTTAAAACCTGTTTTTCCTGACATGTGCTATAAGCTAAAAACTGATTTTTTCGCTTACGCTTTCGTCGTAATGGGTACCCTGTCGCTACTAGTAACTCTTAACATAAGAGAGAACCAAGAATTATATTTGATTTGCCTGGTATTCTGTAAGATAAAAAATCATCCCGCATCATCAATAATACCATAGACACTAGAGAAAAACGTTTGCGCATGCGTGCACTTCAGCACGTTTTCTAAGAATTTTGAAGAGTTTGAGTGAGAAAATAAATGTTTGTTTTCTCCAAGTATACAAAAAAGTTCGAGAGCATACTTTTGTCAGACAAAGATACTGTATTAACAAACACAATATGAAAGAATTAGTCTTAAGTTTCAAGCATGGGCACTAACTTTTGGCATTTTGTGAACTCCAATTTATCAAGTTTGTTTGAAAGTCAAATTTGCTTATGTTTTGACTAATTTGCACACGGATTCAGAGCATGCGCAGACGTTTATCACTCGTGTCAATACCATATAGACTCATTGCATGTGACGTCAAAGCAGCTCAATTTGGAGGACAAAAAGAGAATTTCAATCTCATGAGAATTGGAAACCTATTGTTATGTCCTCAAAATCGAGCTTCATTCCGATGTCTATTCAAGCAACTGGCTTGAATATGGTAGAAGCCGTTCTGAAACAATTATAAAGTACAGTTAACGCACAGCATATATCTAATGACTGTTTAGTAAAGAGAGAACATGTTGTGCACGCGTCCACCTCTCACTSCTATCTTGTCGTTGTTTCTTAGTGATTATCATAAACATTTTCCAATCAAAATGCACGGAACTCCCTACTTCCTTCAATCAATTTTACAATCTACTTACAGTTACTCGTTAAGTTATTTGAAACTAAAAAAATCCTTGCGCATACTAGAAAATAGCTTAACTTTGCAAACCTATTTAACCCATGGACGCCATGTTGGTTGAATATCAGTGATTTCTTTTGCGATGCCAACCAATATGGCGGCCACGTATTTTTTTCTTAATTGGTGATTAATATATTAATAAAGTGCAGTGGAGACTGCAGGGTAGATTCCGTACGACTGTGAAAGCCATGATTGACGGTAAGGTTACGGAACTGACGTGATTTGTTAAAAAAATCCCAGCCACCGAAATCACCGTTTATTCATAGTGAGTCCTAGAACAAACTCTAGGCTGATCTTGTTTAGGGCGCGAATCATACGGCATCGTCAATTGGGGGGTCTCTGGGGTAAAAGTAAAAGGGTATGCTCGTCGTATATTGGGTATGCTCGTCGCGATTTGGTATCTTTTAGAATGTTAAAATTCGGCATTTCTTGGTATCTTTTAGGGTATCTCTTAGCAAACAAAAATCGTCCAGTCACGCACCTTTTTGGTAAGACTTATGGTGTGATTTAAAAGGGGTGTTTTTGAAAATTTCCCACAAGTAGCATACTTGATACTTTTATCCCGAAATCCCCCCTCCCCTTGGGGCATCGTCATGGTCATGGATCGTAGCGTTACTTTTTTTTCCAGTCATACGAAATTTAAAATGTTACTATTAGTTATATTGCTAGGAGATCGCGACCTCCATCCTATTTATCGTTATATGATTCTGCTAAAGTATTAGGAACCAATTTATATTATGTAGGAGACATCTTTTCTAATAAAAATGATTGTTGGCCATTGTGGTCTAGCTTGGATTCAAAGAACTCCAAAGGACATGATTGACAAATAGTCTTCGTACCCAAGATAGACCACAATGCACCATGTTCGCTATCTCGGAAAGAGTCTGTAGGTGAGAAATCAGCGAAATTTTCCAAGTTCCTTCCTTCCCTTTTTGAGAGTTAAATATTTTAGCACTTCTTCTCATTTTGTTGCAAAATACTGAGCACTAYCCTCTCGATAATCTGTAAGGGGATATTCAGGAAGTCTTCGGTCGCACACATTTTTCACCCACTGAGCCCCAATCCCCACCCTCACCCTATCCCCCCAACCTCACCTGATAAACAATGAATATAAAAATATGTATTAATGCAATCATGGTGCTTAAACATCGATTTGATACAAAACTTATTCAAAATGAGATTAAAACAACAAAATCCAATATTAATGGCTCTAATAGCTTTAACTGTATGCCATTTCCCAAGATTGGGATGCCTGTGGTTTATGAATAGGTAAAAATTTAGAAGCGTGAGTCCAATGGACTTTGGTTCTTGGAATTCAACTAGAAATCACCTACATAGAGGCTGGGATACTAGAACTGCTGGTAGCTGAATATATAGATGAAACCTTGAATAAAAACACCCAGAATCCATTTTGGCCCAGTTGTACGAAGGGTGGATAGCACTATGCGATGGATAAATCCTTATCCAGTGGATAAGATGCTGTTATCCAATAAATTTATCCACTGGATAAGATTTATCATGTCGAATAGCAATATTCATCCTTCTAACAACCAGGTCCTGTACTTTGTATCATATGATGAACCCTTCTAAATCCATGGGTCTTGATGCTTGTTTGTTATATAGTGTCTATTTTCCATTCGCTCTGTGAAAACAAAGATATTTTTATCAGAAAATAAGGGATTGAAAACCATATTTAAAATCATGATAGATGTGTTTTGATTCATTTATTAGCGTCTGTGGTGCACTGGGTGTCTGGGTACACGTCACTCACTAGTTGGTTTATCATGATTATTTATATTGACATTTATGATTAGGATGGTGGTGTACCCTGGGTGTCTGGGTACACGTCACTCACTAGTTGGTTTATCATGATTATTTATATTGACATTTATGATTAGGATGGTGGTGTGCACTGGGTGTCTG